CCCTGAGCCGGTGAGATTTGAACCGCTGAACTGCTGATCTAGCAGTAGCCTGCAGTGCTGCATTTAACCACTGCGCCACCTTGGCTCTTTTAGAACTGGCAGGAACCCACCCTTGTGTAGTTAGCACATTTTCTTATTTCTCGTACCATCCGCAACTTTTGGTTCTTTATTTCTTAATGTCCCAGACGCTTTATGTTCAAATTATCTCCAAAACTGATATTACAAATTTAGGTTTTACACAATACGGATTACAAATATTTCGTTAGTTTGCAGGTTTAAAGGCAAGCACTATAATATATTGCCTTATAAGGAGCATAGGTCAGGTATAGAACCAAAGGGTACAGGTTTGGGAAGAGAGCTAGGGTATTTTCTCACAGGACTAACTTGCTATCAAACATCCTAACAATATTCTTGAACCTACAATGCAGAAAGGTGATTCTAGCCTATTTCTGTGGTAACTAGGGAATCAGTTTATCTGAATACCTTGCAGCCACAGCAATAATACACAGAAGCTGCTAACACTGGATCTCAAGCAGACCCCACCTCACATCTCCTGGAGCTGTGTACCTGCCAGATAATCAGGGAAGACAACAAAAACTGTTTTTTCTACAGGTGGGATTTGATTTTTGGAACTACCTACTACAGGAAAGGGACGATTCCTTTTTAAATGTACACTGCCACAATACTTTCTTCAGTGGTGATATAAAAAGGAGCAAATAAAAAAATGAAAAGGAATTCATGAAGGAAAGAAACTGAGGCAAATTCAATCCTGAGCATTAAAGGGCATCAGAAGGACCCTTTATTCTGAGGTGGATCCTCCTAAGCGACTCCCCACAAGCAATGGCTCCAAGGAGGGACCATCCCCCTTTTCTCTCCTACCTGATCACTTAGAAACAAAGAGCCTTCAGTTGCTTCAAAGTGGAAGGTTTACTTTTACTAAAGCCAAAAGACCAGATCTGAGGTTGGGTGTGTGCCTCTGAAGACTGCCCATCCACTTTCTCCTCTCCTAAGCCCTTCCCCCCCACATTTATCTCCCTGGTGTCCAGTAGGATTCAAACAAATTGTTTTGATAACAGTTCTGATGCTTGGCGGGCTTGGCCGTTGTCCCCATTCATTCCCATCCTTGTGGCCTTGCAGGCATTCGGAATGGTTTCTTTTATGGGTTCCCTCCCCCCAATGTTCATAGCAGTTTGGCATCAGCTAAGCAATAATGGGGCCATGAGGATGGCTTCACGGAATTCCTCCAGGGAATTTAGCAGCCATTTAAATCAAGAGCTTCTGGACCTGACACAGCACCAGAGAACATTCCATGGGAAATGATCATAGAACATAGAATCCCAAGACTGGAAGGGGCCTCTAAGGTCTTCGAGTCCAACCTCCTGCTCAAGACAGAAGACCTTATACCAACACGGTCAAATGGCTATCCGGTTTCTTTTTGAAAGCCTCCAGTGATTGCGGCACCCGCAACTCCGGGAGGCAAACTATTCCAGGAGAAAGTGTGGACTGCATGAACAATCTTATGAGAGACCCCAAAAGCAGCATTTAAAAGTCAAGAACTCCCCTCTCGCCCAGAACTACCCGAAGGGAAAGGAAAGTGGAAGCTTTTTACCTTCTCGCCCGCAGGGAAAGGCGGCTCTGGCCCTCGCCCGGATTCCGTTCCCCAAGAGAGGCGCGCAGGGCAGGTCCTCCAGCGCCGCTGCCTTCCCAGCACAGCTCGTAAACTGCACCTCTCTCCCCTCAAGCAGGACCCGCCCCCAGGGATTTAAAGTTGAAACAGGGAGTGCTTCTCCCCATAGAGATCCCTCCCTCTTCCCTCCTCCTTCAGTTCTTGGCAAGAGGGCGCCCCCGGGCGGATCCTGTTTTGATTCTGGGAAGCAAAGGTGAGCGGGCGGACGGTGTGATCGCGGGGGATGAATTAGGGGTTAAGAGCTTGAGAGAGTAAAGTTT